GTGTGTGTGTGTGTGTGTGTGTGTGTGTGTGTGTGTGTGTGTGTGTGTGTGTGTGTGTGTACACACAAATTCCACAGGTGTTCATGCATATACACACATAAACACAGAGAGAAATATGGGTGTGCGTGTGTACAGTGTAGTAGTGTGTGCACACATGCATGTCTGCATAAAATATAGGAAACGAATCCGCGACCAATCCGGAAAAAAAAACTGAGACAAATGTGGGAAAACGAAGGAGTTTAGTCATATTATTGAAATTGAAAACCCAATCCAAGCCTCCAAGGTAAATAAAATGAATAACATTAAACATACAACGAACATTAGCAGAAAGTACAAGGAAGTAGTAGAAACTTAGAAAGGTACTGGAAACGTATTTTCTTCTTTTTGTTTTTGGGAAGGGGGAGAGGGGAGGGGAGGGTGGAGGGAGGGGAACCCTCCTGATCTAGACCAGACCGCATGTCTGATAGGGCCTGCAAAGTAGTCCAGGTCCGGTCCAGGTTCAGGCCTGGGTCTGATGGGGCCTGCACACTAGTCCAGGCCGGCACACTAGTCTAGGTCGAGGGAGGTTGGGGGGAGGGGAACCCTCCTGGTCTAGAGCGGACCGCATGTCTGCTAGGGCCTGCGCACTAGTCAAGGTCCGTTCAGGGTCTGGCATGACAATGAAAATTGTGATAGTCAGGGTCCAGGCCTGGGTCTTTACGATCAAATGTACGAGTGTTGCTCCGTCTTTTTGGTTTGATAAATGAGAAAAAGAAGTGTTGCTCTGCTGAACCATCAGCACCTCCTGAAAATTTGGTCCGGCCTCCAGAGACAGATTTGCAAAACAATAATAAAAAAAAAAGAAGGAGAAACTAATGTGACAATCCCACAATCCAGCTCAAAAAGGGGGCAAGCCTCCTCAATTGTTACCATGGTAGTAGTTAAAGTTCGTGGGGGATTGAACTCCTCAACAAAATCTTCTCAATGATTCTTTGTAGTAATCAAGGCAAGGGTCCCCTCGATAAAAAACGAACGAACAAACAAATAAAAAGAGAACAAAGATAAGAAGGAAGTGCAGAGGAGGGAAGGGGTAGGGG